ACTGATGTTTTATCTATATACTTGAATAGATAATGATTTTCTTTAATTTTAATTTCACACAATCTAACTACAAAAAAGAGAAAACTCTACTCAGCACTACTATAACTCTTGTTAATCCCGTAGTCCAAAATTCTTGAAAATTTGTTCTTTTCTCTGTTAAAAATGTGAATGTGATATGAATTTTGGAAAGAAAAAATGATAAAATGTTTCCGTAAACTAAAAGATTTTTTTTCTAACTAATATACAAATGTATTAACATCCCACTATCGTAAAACAGTTTGTTGTAAAAATACTATAAATAATTTTGTAAAATTGATATAATCTCGATACGGAGATAATAATTATCTAGATCTTAAAAAAGAATCTCAAAACCAAGCTAAGCATATTTCTGTAGTTCTCCCGAGTTCCCCAATCAAAATTTTAGGCAAATCTGACCCCTCCCCCCCTGACTTGTTCAATACATCTATTTATCCATCCAGATATAAAGGTTTTAAAACTTCGAAGTCATTGTACGTCTCATTATTAAGTATTTGGTAAAATCCTGAAATATTCTTGGGTTAGTTTAAGCTTTTGCATATTTTATCAAGAAAAATAGAGAAAATCTTCTTTTCTTTTTAATTGAACTGGATTAGTAGACTCATTGTTCTTAAATTAGATTTAATTAGATTTAATTGTAGATTTAATTACTTTTGTAAAATTTAATTAATTCTTTTCTTTGTTATTTAAAAGCTTCATGCACTTTCTTTTTTGTAAAAAAAGCCTATTCTGGTGCAGGTAGGAGGATGAGGATTTTAACCCCCCCCCCCTCCTGTGTTTTTGCTTTTAACATCATTGGACCAATTTTACAGACCCATGATACGCGGTGTGAAGTTACTTAATTTCTCTTGGGACAATTAAGTAAAATAACCTCCGCTCTGAGAGGTTTTCGTGAAAAAACATTTGTGTATTTTTAAGACGATGAATTTGTGCACAAACTACTTTTCGATATCCAGAGGAAAGAGATATTAGTATTAAATTGTAAAATTTCATATTGTTTAATGTAATTTTGCTTTAGACAAATATAAATGATGAATATATTTGTATAAAATTAAAATAGGAAAGAAAGAGAAAAATTAGGAAAAATTAAATTGGGAAAAAAAATTTCAAAAACAATTTAGAAAAATAATTTTTTTTTTCGAAGAAATTGCATGTTTTGTATGTTTAATGATTACCTAGATGTGTTCATGCGAGTACATTATCTAAAATATGTTTACACAATTTCTCGGTGTACAGTGCGCTGAGTCTCATAAAACTGTGGAATAGGAAGACGACTAATTAATTAAGTTATAACGACATCAAAAACACATAATTTTCATATTTTCATATTCCTATTCCGCTGGGATGATACGAAACTCCTTTAAATATAAAGATTTAATTTCAGTCTTTCTGCAAATTCTTTTATTTTGCTGGACTGCTAATTCCAATGGTAACCAGAACACAGGAAGATTCTCTCGTAAAGGAATTGAATTTTTTCCACAAACTCTGAATTTCTAATCCCTATATCATTACAATCCAATTTGGTAGACCTAAGATATTTAGATAAATCAAACCAGGAATTCTGTTAAATTAAATAATCACAGTTAGAAATATCAAATGTTCACATTATCAGGTTGCAAAGATACAGGAATTTGAGTTTGTGGGAAGAACTCAGTTCCTTTGCAACGATCGCAAGTTACAGAATCCTTCCTCGATTTTTTGGCGCACACGGTATGCCTTGTCTGTGGCAAGATTGTCATATTTTGTCTTTATAAATTTAATCATCATTTTAGATTTAAACTAAAATATCAAAGCAGATAAACTTGTAAAGTGGGAAAGGGTAAAGAAAGAAGGGAGAGGGGGAAGCAGGGGGGAGGAAAGAAGGGGGAAGGGGAAGCGGGGAAGGAAAGAAGGGGGAAGGGGAAGCGGGGGAGGAAAGAAGAAGGAAGGGGAAGCGGGGAAAGAAAGAAGGGGGAAGCGGGGGGGGAGTATTACAACTGGACAGTAAACACTAAACCAGTGAAAGTCTTTGTTATACCTTCAAGTTCAAGGACAAATAATATACCTTGAGACAATGTTCAGAAAACCCGCAAAAACAAGATTTCTTTTCAAATCAGCTGACAGGGTAATGGAGCAGGTTCTCAATCAGCTGAATGATTGATAACCAGCTAATTGGTTGATAATCAGCTGATTGACTTATTTTAAGCTCATTGTTTTATAATTAGCTGATTGATCTATAACCGACTGATTGATGGATAATCAGCTGATTGATTGATAATCAGCAGATTGATATATAACCGACTGATTGATGGATAATCTGCTGATTGATTGATAATCAGCAGATTGATATATAACCGGCAGATTGATGGATAATCAGCTGATTGATTGATAATCAGCTAATTGACTGATGACGAGCTAAATTGTTTATAATTTAAATTACTGATTAATCAATCAGTATCCAATTGATTAGTGATTAGCTGATTGAAAAATAATCAACTTATTGATTGATAATCACTTTATTGGTTGATTATCAGCTGATTGATTGATTATAATCATCTAATTGACTGATTTCGAGAAATAATTGGTTTATAATTCGCTGATCATCAACTATTATCTAATTGATTTGTAATTAGCTGATTGAAAAATTAATCAGCTGATTGATTAATGATTAGCTCATTAATCTAAAATCAGCCAGTTGCCTTATAACAAGCCGTTATATTTATAGATGTATAAGCAGCTGATTGATTTGTACACAATACCAACTTTTGTTAATAAATATAAACTTAAATATTTTAAGTACATTGCCCATCGCAAAGCTTAGGAACCCAGCTGTGCCTGGAAACTAAAATTTCGCTACAAAAGTAAACTAAATCTATTTACAATATTTAAATCAAATATTTAAGGCAAATTGTTTATGAGAATTATACCTGGAGAATTATGATCGGACATACAAATAGAAAACAGACAAACAGAGATTAGCACTTAGTATTTATAAATATTGATACTAAATAGCCTATTACTTTAATATGTCTGGTTTTATTTGGATGTATTTATTACGACTGGTTTATGACCTTCACGCACATTTGTGTAACAAAGATTCTTATTTCTTAATTTAGTAATACAACTATACTTTCTACATCATAATACATTGCCTAAACATACCTAGTCCAATACAACTATACTTTATACATCATAATACATTGCCTAAACATACCTAGTCCAATACAACTATACTTTATACATCATAATACATTGCCTAAACATACCTAGTCCAGTACAACCATACTTTATACATCATAATATAGTCCAATAACAATGCGAGTTAAGATATTAAAATCGCATCTAATTTTAGATTACTGAAAAACGTAAAATTGTGATTTTATGAATTCTAAAATAAAACCATGGACCAATTTAGTGATCTTCGTTAATTTTTAATGACAGGCCACATTTTGGAAATCTAACGAATTAGAGATTCAGTAGGTAATTGTTTAAACTGGATTTAAAACTCGAGTCACTCATTTCTCATCTTTTTATTAAATTGTTTCGAGGTAAATAAGTAGATTATACGCTTATCTTAATGTCCCGGCCCACTGTAGTTTCAATGGATGTAAATATTTCCATCTACTGGCAATCTAATTCATAATTGGATGATGACATAGATAGATAGACAGACGTTACCGCCATACAATGTTTATTGGTTCAGAATAGACACCAAACAGATGAGTGAACCCTGATTGGATCAGGCGCTAATGGAATAGACATACAAGTGTGGGTCGTTGATGTTTAATTTCCCCTTGCCCCTCCTTCCCTTCAGGCAAGCATATGGTAAAAGAAGAAGGATACTAGCGAGTAGTGACCTTCAACTCTCTATCTATCTATCTATATATCTTTAAAAATCTCGGGATTTCTATAACAACCACTTTTGAGTGACTCATTTGCATTTAAAGAGTCTATAAACTATAAGTTTAGACTCTTTAAAAGGTTTGTGCACGTAATTTCATGTAGGTGACCCTAATAATCCTTATATATTCCTCTTTTTATTCAAATCTTCTGAACCACTAATTCATATCTATATCTATCTAATTGTAAAATTATCTAATCTACTAATTATTATCTATCTATCTAATAATAAAATATCATCTAATCCACTAATTATTATCTATCTATCTATTAATAAAATCATATAAAATTAACTAATAATTATCTATATTTATCTATTTGTAAAATCATTTTATCTATTTATTTATTTCTATTCAGCTATTTATAAATACACTTATTTACTGATTCTTATCTATCTATCTATTTATAAAACGAGCAATAATGCGGGAAAAAATCTATCTATTTATTTCACTAGTTTCTCACGCTACCACTTTTTATCGCTTTTGTTTTATTATTCGTTACTGTCATTCTAACTTTCCTACAAGACTTGTTATGCAATCTTAACTAATTGAGGTTTCCTTATTTCACTTTTACTTTTCTTGAATTGAATAAAATTAACGTTTCATTGCTATGCAATCATCTAAAATAAGGAATTGTTTAAATGTCACAATAGCTTTAGTTGTAATAAAAGGGAAAATTTGGTTTCTCGCAAGCGCTTAAGATGAGAAAAGATTGTGCAGTTGTCTCAGATTTTTTTATTTATCTTTGCAACCTGAGATAGTAAACTTTTATCAGAGTTTAAAAATAGAATTTTACAGATATGCAGCTCCTGTTTATTAATTCGAAATGTGTACAAGTCGTCGTTGTATATAATAATACAATGAGGACGACTATCAATTAAAATTTTGATTTCTACCAAGCTTTTAAACAGCAAGGAAACACTTAAACATGGAAACAAAGAGAAGGCGTCAATTAACAGCTGTTCTTGTTAGAAATCAAAACTTAAATGGAAAAGTCGTCTTCATTGTATTGATATAAACGCCGACTATTGTACATAAATACTACTTTATTACTGATTTGAATTGAGATTAATAATATAAAATGTTTCAGGCCCCGATATGCGTGGATTAGTGGTCTGGACCCTTTTATCTCTCTCCTCCCCCTCCTCCCCCTCCCCCTCCAGGGGTGGCAGGGTTAACAGCAAAATGATGAATTTTGACTCCGCTCCTCAAATGAATGAATACTCGGCTAGAAATGATAGAAGTGGTAATTACAGATATTTTAAGTGTTTCGTTTTTTCTTCAGTTTTGCGTCGTTTTTACTTCGATTTTACTTCGTTTTTGCTTCAATTTTTGCTTTGTTTTAACTTTGCTCTTGCTTCGTTTTTTCTTCGTATGGGGTTCGTTTTTCCTTTGTTTTTGCTTTTTTTTGCTTTGTTTAAAGTCGTTTTTGCTTTGTTTTTGCTTCGTTTTTATTCGTGTTTGCTTTGTTTTTTATTCGTTTTTGCTTCGGTTTTGCTTCGTTTTTGCTTCATTTTTGCTTCGTTTTGCTTTGTTTTTGCTTCGTTTTTGCTTTGTTTTTACTTTGCTCTTGCTTCGTATTTGGTTCGTTTTTCCTTCGTTTTACTTTGTTTTTACTTCGTTTTTTGCTTTGTTTAAAGTCGTTTTTGCTTCGTTTATGCTTCGTTTTCCTTCGTATTTGCTTCGGTTTTGCTTCGTTTTTGCTTCGGTTTTGCTTCGTTTTGGCTTCATTTTTGCTTCGTTTTTGCTTTGTTTTTACTTTGCTCTTGCTTTGTTTTTTCTTTGCATTCTTTAAAGAGAGTTTGCCTGAACCATAAAAAATGTTATAAATATGAAAAACTATCTTGAATCATTATAAAGTTTTCGTACAAATTTTTTTTTATTATTCAAAATTTTTAAAATGTTGATTTCATAGAAATTAGAAAAATCATGACGCATTTTTATATTTAAAAAATATCTTTAACAAAGGTAAAATAAAAGTATTGTTGATCAAATTCATGAAAAATGGAAAAAAACGGCATTTTTGTATCCGCAAAATCACGTTTTCATCATCTTTTATCAGCTGGTCATTCATTATCGAATATGAATGTATGAGGGAGACTAAAAAATAATGTTTTGGTTTTATTTTAAAATTTTCTTTTTTGTTTCAGAACACGGTCGCCAGATTCAACCCTTGGAATGCCAGAATAAGGAGGGAAATCAAAAGGAATTCAAACACAATAATCTTATCACTATCTTTTTATTCAAAATGAAAATACCCAAAAAAATATTTGTTTTGGAGGAAATTACAGTTTGTAGTATACATTTGGAATAACATCGAAGTACTTTGGGAGTACCATGAGAGGACCATCAGAGTACCTTGGAAGGTCAATGGGAGGACCATTAAAGAACCATGGAAGGTCAATGGAAGGACCATCAGAGTACCATGGAAGGTCAATGAGAGGACCATCAGAGTACCATGGAAGGTCAATGGGAGGACCATCAGAGTACTATGGAAGGTCAATGGGAGGACCATCAGAGTACCATGGAAGGTCAATGGGAGGACCATCAGAGTACTATGGAAGGTCAATGGGAGGACCATCAGAGTACCATGGAAGGTCAATGGGAGGACCATCAGAGTACTATGGAACGTCAATGGGAGGACCATCAGAGTACCATGGAAGGTGGAGGACCATCAGAGTACCATGGAAGGTCAATGGGAGGACCATTAAAGTACCATGGAAGGGTGATGACAGTAACATTAGAGACTTGGAGCACTATGGGAGGACTATGGGAGTACCATTAAAGTACCATGAGTTTGAGTATCCCGGAGTACCATGCCCCCTGGGAGTACCATTGAAGTACCATGGTCCCCTGGGAGTACCATTGAAGTACCATGGCCCCCTGGGAGTACCATTTTTTCAGGAGATCTCTAATAAAATTAAACCAAATAAATTACACCAGAGAGATCTCTAATAAAATATGGGGGTGGAGGGTTGTCAGTAGGATTTCTTCCGATGACAATTATTTCTACCCAGATAAAACAGAGTCGCAAAAATAAAAATTTACATTTTAACATAAGTTTGTCCAAAGATTTAAATTGTTGTGGTTGGCTACAGGGTGTTTGTATGTTCGCTTGGAACTGCGTAGAGGCAGGAGGGAAACATTTAGGAACATGTATTGACAGGTAAATTTTTTTAAAGATTCAAAACAACATTTTTGATCATTTTTATTTTTCAGATTTTATTTTGGGAGTTGTTGTCTTCTGCCTGATAGTGTAAACAGTATAGATACTGTGGGAGATAGTGATAAACTTGATTCATTGATACAATCTACCTCTTCAACATCAACATCTACAACAACATCAACATCAACAACAACATCAACAACAACAACAACAACAACAACAACAACAACAACAACAACAACAACAAAAACAACAACATCAACAACAACATCAACAGAAACCACATCAACAGTAACAACAATGCAATCTTCAGCCCTGAATTCAGAAACAGTTGTTCCTGACTTGTTAGTTGATGTAACCTTGGATCTAGAGAGTTTAACGCAACATGGAGATGTAGATGAACAAGTTACTAATGAAGATGTAGCTGAGCAGGTTACTGATGGAGATGTGTCTGACCAGGTTTCTGATGGAGATGTAACTGAACAAGTTACTAATGAAGATCTAGCTGAGCAGGTTACTGATGGAGATGTAACTGAACAGGTTACTGATGGAGATGTAGCTGAACAAGTTACCAAAGAACCAGAAATGCCAGATAATACTGAACTGAATATTGAACCTTCAACAAGTGAATCTGAAGAAGATGGCGATGTAAATGAGTCTACTGAAACTATGACAGAAGCTACAGAAGATACGGGAGTCTCTGAAGTTCCAGAAGCTTTGAAAATAACCGAATCATCAAAAGTTGAGGAAACATCCACTGAATCAGCTCTTGAATCAAATAACTCATCTGAATTAGAAGGAATAGACGCCAACACAACTGATGCAGTCGAGGCTATTACTGACATCTCCAATGCCGAAGCTGCAATAACAGAAGATCCCGAAAGTAGTGAAGCAGTCACTGATGGTCCTAATACTGATTCCCAAGAGTTGAATTTATCTGTAACGGAAGTTACAAATGGAGTTGAGGTGGTGTCTGATGCCAGCAAAGGCTCTGAAAATTTAGCAAATGTTCCTGATGTGGTTTCTATTAACACATATGCCCCTGGCACTGAAGAAGTTACAACAAATGGAGTAGAAGATATAAAGGAAGTTTTGGAAGAAGTAACTAACACTATTGAGGAAGGTTCTTCTTCAAATGAAGTGGAGGAAACTGTAACAGAAGTTTCAGGATCATCTGAAGGTTCAACAAATGCTTCAGAGGATACCAATACAATTGTAACAAACACTATTATATCTGAAGAAGCATCTACAGATGTTGATGAAGTAAAGTCCACAACTAGTGAACCTGCTGAAGCATCTACCGCACTCCCCGTAACCTCTGAAATAGCTAATACCTCTGAATCCACATCTGAATCTGAATCCACTTCTGAATCTGCATCCACATCTGAATCTGAATCAGCATCTGAATCCACATCTGAATCTGAACCAACATCTGAATCTGAATCCACACCTGAATCCACATCTGAATCTGAATCCCCTGCGACTGTTCCAGTAATCCCTGAAGTGACTCTAACTACAGAGATTGCTGTTGATTGGATCCCAGTTTCCATTGTTCAGGTAGGTTTAAGATCCCTTCCAGTTAATCCAGATATTGATCTTTGATCCATTCTTTGAAAGCATTGATCCGGATCCAGTTTATTTATTTATGTTAAAACTTGATTGACCATATTACTGAATTATTTTTCAGGAGGGTACAGTTGTTAACACCTCCGTCGTTGAGGAAGCAACAACAGTGGACACAGCTATTAATGTTACCAAAGAAACAGCTACTGAAGAAACTGAAAATTCCAATACCAAAGAATCAGTCACAGACTCTTCAGATGAATCTACAACTGAATCATATTCTACAGAATCTTCAGCTTCTACTAATGCATCTTTAACAGACGAAGAGGGTCCTTCGGGGACGATTTCGTTTTCAGATAACTTCAATCCTTCAGGAACATTATTTTAAAAATTTCAACCTTGGGATCTTACAACTTTTTTGCCTGCTGTCTGCACTGTAACATTTTATTTGAATATTGAACTACTTAAAATATGTCTAATTTTCAAACGCAATGTTTTAATCTAAGAACAAAATTTCATAATTTCTAAAAAAATCACAATTTCAAAAAAAAAATTATATTTTTGAAATGTTTCCGATTAGCTCTAAAAACGTGTTAGTTTTTTTCTAACAGATGTCAATCATTTTTTAGGAACTATAACCATTACATCTTTAGTATCTATGTAAAGTTAGGCAGGAAAGGATTCACAATTCACAACAGGATATTTTTTATCTCTCTAAATTTCCTTCAATTTCTCTCATTGTTTACAGAAAACGTACTAATTAATTTTCAAATGGAAAACTAGGAATAACATTGAATTAATTACAGAATTACATGTACAAGTGTTCATTGGACATGCCCCCTTAGAAATGAAACATCGTTGGATATTTCGTTCAATGTATTTTTGTCGAAAATTAATAGTATTCCGCGTTTTTGGAAACGCAAAAAATTGGCTTTTATCAAGAGCCCGTTATAAATAAAAAAGTGGTAAAATGACATTTTTAAAAGGTTTAAAAGGTACTTTTGTGAATCATCGCAGGCCACTTAATCAAGTTTATATCCATTCTCACAGATGTAGGAATTTGTAACCACACTGTAATCTGGGATTGCAAAATAAGAAAATTTATCAATGATTTGCACTTGCAAATTCAATTAAAGGCTGAGGATAAAAAGTACAATCACATAAAAGGCTGGAATTAGATCAGACATTTCTATTCCTTAGAAAAGATAGACTTATTTACAGGCAAATTCTTTCTCTTTTTTTTACTAAATTAGACAATTTGAACTATTGGCGCCCCTTTTCTACATTTTCAAATAATTTTTAAATCAACTATTTAAGTAAAATGGGTCTCTTTACATTACACTGCACAATCTCTGTGTTTTATGTTCATTAGTCTAGTAAATGACGTGTTTTTTCCACAATTTAAAGGGAGTGTTCGCGAAAAATGAAAAGGGGTATAGGCTTTAGGCGAAAAATAATCGCTTTTGATTGCTACTAATCTTAATTCTATCTGTTGCGTCTGTAAGCAGAAAATTGTTAAATACGACTTTTACTGTAGAACGTAGCGTTCATACACATTCAGAGAGTTGCAATATACAACTCATATCGTAAAAAATCAATTTAAATTTAAACAAATCATTTAGATATTACAACCTAAAGAAATCGACTATTTTTGGACGCATTTGTATATGGTTAATATTTCATAATATTTGTTTTTTGTTTTATATACAATGCACTTAAAACGACATTTTATCCGCTGGGTGTCTCTGCCACGTAGAATCATTCAAAGCATCGAGGGCAGAGATATCTGGCGGCCAACTATTTCGGCGTTTTAAGTGCAATGTATACAAAACGAATAATAATTATTATGAAATAATAACTATATTCGAATGCGTCGAAAAATAATCCATTTAACGGGTTCCACTGCATAGTATTATTCCCACGTTTCGCTGAATTTAAATATAAAATTAATGCTGTTCTCAGACATGTTTACTATTGGAGAGAACGGGCATGTTAAGCCATCAGCGGAGGCTGTAGTGGCTGAAATAGAGGAGCTAGAAGACAGGGAGGAGAAATATTTTCAACATTTGTTATTTAAACTTTTATTTTTTATTTGCTATTGATATACTGACCTTTAGATACTTCAGTTTTGACTTACACCTCAAATATTTGTGTCGCCATTTTTTTCTTTATTTCTGTGGTCATGACAAGCTTTCTCCTGATTTTTCTCTCTTTGTTTTAATATTTCTACCTTGACATTGATATTTCTATTTTGGTTATAATATTTCTACCTTGACATTGATATTTATATTTTGGCTTTAATATTTCTATTTTGGTTTTGATATTTCTATTTTGACTTTAATATTTCTATTTTGGTTTTGATATTTTTATTTTGGTTTTGATATTTCTATTTTGGCTTTAATATTTATAATTTGGTTTTGATATTTCTATTTTGGTTTTGATATTTCTATTTTGGTTTTGATATTTCTATTTTGGCTTTAATATTTCTATTTTGGTTTTGATATTACTAGCCTTGTTTTGATATTACTAGCCTTGTTTTGATATTTCTATTTTGGTTTAGATTTTGCTTTCTTTGTTTTGATATTGCTTTCTTTGTTTTGATATTACTAGCTTTGTTTTGATATTACTAGCTTTGTTTTGATATTACTAGCTTTGTTTTGATATTACTAGCTTTTACTAGCTTTGTTTCGATATTACTAGCTTTGTTTTGATATTTCTATTTTGATTTTAATGTTTCTATATTAAATATTTGATTTTATCTTGACTTTAAAGGGAGTGTTCGCGAAAAATGAAAGGGGGTATAGGCTTAATGCGATAAAAAAGCGCTTTTTATCGCTACTAATCTTACTTCTATCTGTTGTGTCTATAAGGAGAAACTTGTTAAAGACGTCTCATACCGAATAACTTACCGTCCATACAAATTCATAAAATTGCAACATACGACGTAGACCATAAAAAATCCATTTAATTTCAAACAAATCATTCAGATATTACAACCTGTAGTCATCGATTATCTTTCGCCACATTTGTATATAGTTTATATTTTATAATATTTTTCAACAGATAGAAGTAAGATTAGTAGCGATCAAAAGCGCTTTTTTATCGCATTAATCCTATATCCCCTTTCATTTTTCGCGAACACTCCCTTTAAACTTTAATTCTTTCTTGATTTTTTTCTCTCTTGATCTAAATATGTTATCTTGATTTTAAACTTCTCTTTAGACTTTAATATTTCAAACTTTATTATATTTGTCTGGACTTTTACATTTTTTTATTCTGACTTTAATATTTCTATCTTTATTTTAATACTTCTGGACTTTACTGTTTTAATTTTGACTTTAATATTTTTTTTCATTTCTATCTTAATTTTTGTTTCTTACTTGATTTCAATATTTCTCTTTAGGCTTCAAAATTTCTATCTTGATTTTAGTATTTTTCTTGACTATTTTATTTCAATGATTACTTTTATATTTGAATCTTGATTTGAATTGTTTCCTCTTGATCTTTACCTAAATCTTGATCCTTCGGTTAGTTTGTTAGATAAACCGCTACGGGATTGGACCTATCAAAGTATTTGTGGAAGACAGCCCTGGCTTAATGAAACTTTCAGGTAACGCCTGTTCAAAGCCTATTCAATAAATAAAGTTTGGTCGCATGAGTTCAACGTCATTTGCTGAATACCCTAAAGAGCACATTTAATCATTTTCTTCATAAGCTGCTGCATATTACTCAATTAGTAACCTACCTGTAGCCCCTAAGCGATATGTACCCTAGCCTATCCTTACTGCGCACTAGCCGATTCCAACTGCAGCGCTTGGTCCCTTTGCAGTACTTACACTTCAAAACGCTTATTCAAATCTTAATAAAGTAGTAAAGTAAAGAAGCAATCAAAGAAAATAAAAATTGCGAAGTTTTCAAAAAATATTTGGAACATTTTTACAATTCCTTCATTTCTTTTAATGTAATATTGTGTGATTTAAATGTAGAGAATACGCTGTGTAGATTAAAGAGTGAATGACTTGTAGATGGCGTAAAAAGTGTATGGACATATAATACCATAATAATTCTTTAGATTGAGGCAGTCGTCCCCCAGATCAGGCAGAAAAATCGAGAGCAGCAGAACATCAAAACTTTGGAACTATTTCAGGTAAATCTGGAATAATTGACATTTGATGAATGATGAATGATACATGATGAATGATGAAAGATGAATGATGACTGATGAATGATGAATGATGAATGATGATTGATGAATGATGAATGATAAATGATGAATGATGAATGATGAATGATGAATGATGAATGATGAATGATGAATGATTGAATGATGAATGATGAATGATGAATGATGAATGATAAATGATAAAAGATGAATGATGAATGATGAATGATGAATGATGAATGATGAATGATGAATGATGAATGATGAATGATGAATGATGAATGATGAATGATGAATGATGAATTATGAATGATGAATGATGAATATGAATGATGAAAATGAATGATGAATGATGAATGATTAATGACGAATGATGAATGATGAATGATGAATAATGAATATTACACGATGAATGATGAATAATAAATGATGAATAATACACGATGAATGATGATAATCAATGATGAATGAAGAATGATGAATAATACACGATGAATGATAAATGATGAGTGAAGAATGATGAATGATGAATGATGAACAATACACGATGAATGGTGAATGATGAATGATGAATAATACACGATGAATGGTGAATGATGAATGATGAATGATGAATCTAGAGAAAGCAAGATTGTAAATGGTGACAGATCTGAGTATGGGGAATGGCCTTGGCAAGTCTCTCTAAGACAATGGAGAACAGGTATCATTATCATCATTGTTAACATTGATACCACTTGCTTGCTATTTATTCTTTAGGTAAAGAGGGATAGAAACTGCATATATAAAAACAATAACAAAGATTGTAACTAAAGTTTTCTGGACAGAACATGCTTATAATAATAATAATAATAATAATAAATGTATTTCAAACTAGATTGATTAATAGTTTACATTTCATGGTCAAAATATATATAAGTTGTCGAAAAATTAAAATCTGTTACAGTATTTATGCACATACATATGTACAGTCTTTCTCTAGTTTGAGAACTAACAGAGTCTAGAGACTGTTTGAGTTAGCCCATTGATAAAATATTTTTTTGGGCTGATCCTTTCGTGAAGCCATGAGAGCAAGATAGTTGTGAAGAATGGTTACCGATTCCTTGAGATGCTTTTTTTTACATAAAACCAGCAGTTCAAACACAGTAAAATGTACACAACCTCCCTACCCCTACCTGTAGTAAACATACCTTAGTTACAACAATGTTATGGAATAGAAAGACGATGTTTAAAAAAATAGTTTCCCTGTGTAGGATGAAAATCAACTTGGAATGGCCGGGTCCGTTTTATACACTTGTATGGTAACCGCAAAAAAAGTTCTCCGAAAAAAGGGTTGCGGAAATAAAGTCCAAATAATCCAAATAGATTGTTAAGTACAATAGATGGCAACGTAGTATTTGGACACTTTCAGTACAGCTGTATTCTTACATCACAAGTGTTAACTCAGTATGTGTCCCACAAAATTATTAATAGTAGTGATAATTTTAGAATAAAGAGCTTATCTGACAGTGAAATAGATGAAATTTTATGTGTTATTTATTTTCTGTTTTTAGACTTTTTTTATTTAATCTTGAAAAACATGTCAACTAATGTGAGAAAATTTCGTTTTCCTTGTTAAATTTGACACTTGTGCTGTCGTGTATAATTGATCCATTTCTCTGTGGCCACCTATTGTACTTGTTAATCTATTTGCAATAATCTAAATCACAGAACATTATTTCCGGTTACATTTTTTTTCGGGACGTCATAAAATTCGGTTCCCCCATGATGTATATTCCACTTGTATAACAGTGCACACTGCACAATTAATATGTTTCATGCTCTATTGGACTATTCAAACAGTCATCTTACTCTTCTACAGCTTTGTTTGAGATCAGCATGATGTGCTAACCGTCATTGGGTCGTTTTTTGCCTTTGTCAGGGTGAAAATTTGGCATTGTAAAAAAAGAAATTTTTCATTTTAAATATTTGCTTTCTTATTCTATGACAGAACTGATATGCGCAACAAAACGATCCAAAAACGATCGGTGTTCAAACAATCTTTTTTGGATAATTTTAGTTTTGTTCGTTTTTAAGATAAAGCCTAATATGACGTCACTGAATAGAGGTAAGAGTGACGTCATATTAGGTTTTTATCTATCTTTTTTAAGAGACGGCATTTTTCGTATATATGAGCGCATCAAAAGTAACAATTACTATAGTCCGAATTTAATGAATTTGAGTCGTGTCTCAAATCCCCCCAAAAACCGGTTTCAATTAAGCGCTGGCATAAATCTTGAAACATTGAATACGATTTTAAGTTGAACTAACCATATTGGAGCCGCGGTTTAAATTTAAGCCACGGCTCAAACTCTTTAAATTCGGCCTCTTATTATACAAAACCTTGACTATAACTCTTATTTTGTTTAGCAACTTTCCTGCATAAATGTGGAGCTGCGCTACTCAATGAAAACTGGGCTATCACAGCAGCACATTGTGTCGAGGGGTAAGTTCACTTAACCCTATTCAGGCTGCCGTCCATGGTTTACCCAAAATAGTTTGTGATACAATTCTATAACATTTAATACATTTTTAGAAAATCATTCGGCTCTACTTTGATAATCTGATGACAAGAAATTGTAAATTTGCAAAATGTTTAATATTTATTGCAAAATCAAGTATTAAGAAAAAATGTGCAAAAAACAAAAAAGTACTCGAAATATGATAAATTATACATTTTTGAAAAAATCAAATATGATAAAATCTTTGCAAAATTTTCATAGACAAAATTTGTATTCAAGGAAAAATTCTCATCAACGGCATCTGTGACAAAATCTATGGAAAATTTCTTCGCATAAAGTGCGCAATCTACTTCCTATAGTTCAAAGCTTTCTAAAGAGCTATAAAAAGTTAAAATCAAATGACCTGAAGTATGTTTAAATAAAGGTTTAGTCGGGTAAAGGTAAAAAAAAGACATTCAAGCAGTATGCCTGAGGACTCAGGCAGTAGGTATAAAAGCCCCGCTTTGAGCCTAAGGTGAGGGGCATGATTTAGTTAGAAAATTCAAAAATTTGAACAGCCTCAGACCAATACTTTTTGAGTTATCTTCAAAAAACGTCACCCCCCCCCCCCCCCCCCCCCGCCGGAATAGGGTTAAATAATATTCAGTAAAAAAAATTTTATGTAACCGGTGTCCCACGAAACATGAAAAATGAAAGACGATTTGAATATTTTTTTTTGATTTTAGATCTTTGTCGAAATCTCCGGTAGTTTTAAAAGCATAAAAAAGTCAGACAACATTTTGGAATTACCAAAACTACAGGCTTGTTATTCGATTAAATGCAGTCAATTTTCGATGCCAATCTTCAAGTCGTCTTTTAACTTTCATGTTTCGTGGGAGACCCTATAATTGCTAGATTTAATAAATCTATGTAGGGTTGAACCGGATTTGTTGTTGCTGCGAATGGGAGAATATGATCTCGACGATCAATATCCAGAACCTTACGCATTTCAGGTGAACAAAAAATTGATCGTAATTATAGATCAAATCTACACCAATAGACCGAAATAGAACTAGATTGACTGATAAAGACCAAATTTAACCAAAAATCGACCGAGAGCGACAGAAACACAATAGAACTGTAATAGATCGAATTTGACAAAAATCAACCGAAAATTTTAAAAATAAATTGTTCGAAAAAGCAAATAAAATACGAACAAATTGTGTCCTTCAATTATTATGTGTAATTGCATCGGGGAAATTTGATTTTGGGTTAAAATAATTTTTAATTTAAATTATGAATATTTAGGACAGAAAAGTTGCAATTGTGATAACACACCAGCAGTTTGATCCGAAAACTTTTGAATACGATCTTGCCTTGCTACGGTTCCATGACCCAGTTGAGTTCCAGCCGAACATTGTACCGGTCTGCCTGCCCGAAGACGACAGGGACATGATGGGACAGACGGCATGGGTCACTGGCTGGGGCAGATTATACGAAGGTAAAGGAGTTGAACCTTTGTCAGAAAATCTGATTTTCTAATTTCTATATCTTTGCAACAGGATCTTGAAACCTTAGCTATTTAAAACAATGAATTCTGTTAGATCAAATTTATCTCAGCTTCAAATATCAAAGGTTTACACCATTAGGTTTCCAAGATAAAGAGATTCTGAAATTTAATTTTGTTTCAAAATTAGACTTTATTTCTTTGTGGCTTTTCTTTTAAATCAAAATTTTCTTCTCCTTGTTACTGCTGTTACGGACACATTTGTTCTTCTTTTTCCTTGTACATAACCTTGTACATAACGTTGTACATCTTGTGCATAACCCTGTACATAACCTTGCACATTAACTGCTTAGATGGTCCTCTGCCAAGTGTACTGCAGGAGGTGGATCTACCAATAATAAACAATACCCAGTGTGAAGTTATGTACGAGAAAGCGGGATACAGGTAAGCTAGACTGTTGATCATTTTTAATTGTGGTCCTTGTAGATTTATGCAGACTTAAAAAAAGATATTTTCAATCCGATAAAAGTCTGAAAGGTACCGTTGTGAATTGAACATGGGACGCTTTTTGATTGATATAACGTGGATTAGGATGGAAAGGTACTGCAGGGATGAATAGGAAAGGGAAAGGGACTGCAGGGATGAATTGGAAAGGGAACGATACTGCAGGGATGAATAGGAAAGGGAAAGGGACTGCAGGGATGAATAGAAAAGGGAAAGGGACTGCAGGGATGAATAGGAAAGGGAACGGTACTGCAGGGATGAATTGGAAAGGGAACGGTACTGCAGGGATGAATAGGAAAGGGAAAGGGACTGCAGGGATGAATAGAAAAGGGAAAGGGACTGCAGGGATGAATAGGAAAGGGAAAGGGACTGCAGGGATGAATTGGAAAGGGAACGGTACTGCAGGGATGAATTAGGAAAGGGAAAGGGACTGCAGGGATGAATAGAAAAGGGAAAGGGACTGCAGGGATGAATAGGAAAGGGAAAGGGACTGCAGGGATGAATAGGAAAGGGAAAGGGACTGCAGGGATGAATAGGAAAGGTAAAGGTACTGCAGGGATGAATAGGAAAAGAAAAGGGACTGCAGGGATGAATAGGAAAGGGAAAGGGACTGCAGGAATGAATAGGAAAGGGAAAGGGGATGGAGTAATGAATAGGAAAGGGAAAGGGACTGCAGGGATAAATAGGAAAGGAAAAGAGACTGCAGGGATGAATAGGAAAGGGAAAGGGACTGAAGGGATGAATAGGAAAGGGAAAGGGACTGCAGGGATGAATAGAAAAGGAAAAGGGACTGCAGGGATGAATAGGAAAGGGAAAGGGACTGCAGGGATGAATAGGAAAGGGAAAGGGACAGGAAAAATAAAATGCCACGACAATGAAGGGATTAATATATTGTATATACCAAACATATTTATTTTTAGGGAGCATATACCAAACTTATTTATTTTTAGGGAGCATATACCAAAAATATTTATTTTTAGGGAGCATATACCAAACATATTTATTTTTAGGGAGCATATACCAAACATATTTATTTGTGCCGGATATAGAGAAGGAGGGAAAGATTCTTGTGAGGTAAATATTAGATTAAGGAAGTATTTTTATATTTTGTAAACAAACGACATTAAAAAAGCCTAACCGAGATAGATTAGGATTAAAATGTGTGTCAAGATAATTTCAAGTGACTCTAGATTTAAAAAGGAGAAATTACCTTATTCACGAAAAACAGAAAATCCAATAATATTTTTTTACTTTTTTTTGCATTTAAAAAGGGGTTTAAAGTACCGGTGTAAGTCGGGTATGTAACCATTTAAATGAAAAGTTACTTAAAATTCCTTGAAGAGTCTCCTTCAGCAATATATTAAATCTTCTTGATCTATCCTTCTTCATTTCTCTGTCTTTCCTTGCTTTCATCGAGATCCTATAAATATGGGAGTAGAAGGACGATCTTCAACGCAGCATTCAATTCTTGAAATTTTACAAACAAAATTTTTTAAAACATTTTTTTTGATCCAGCGCGATTTCTTGATCTGTTGCGATTTCTTGACAAATTCTCGATATCTCTATTTTTATTACATTATTTTTAAACATCACATTTTAGAAATGTCATTTTTCGTCAATCGTACAAACATTAATTGACAAAATTTCAGTCGTTATACTCTATCAAAAGACGACATTTCTAAATCATTTTTCAATTCCCATATTTATTGAGAACTTCTGTAGCTTACATATTGCACTAGAAGTTAGAGCTTAGAGCACATTTCATCCAAAGCGCTTTTAAAAAAATTTGTTCAATAGTCATCAAATTCTACAAATTCGAAAAAATTGAAACTCTTTTTACATAAACTGATTGAATATCAGTTACTGTTAGCTAATTAAAATGTGCGACAAAAGACTTTCTCTATGGTCCAATTAAATCTCTATAGTTGGTATCTCTATGATATCTCTCTATGGTTGTTATCTCTATGATATACTCTCTATGATTGGTATCTCTATGATATACTCTCTATAGTTGGTATCTCTATGATAAACTCTCTATGTTTGACGTATCTCTAACTCTAAGATATTCTCTTTATGCTTGGTTTCTTTATAATATACTCTCTATGGTTGGTATCTCTATGATATACTCTCTTTGGTTGGTATCTCTATGATATCTCTCAATGGTTGGTATCTCTATGATATCTCTCAATGGTTGGTATCTCTATGATAAACTTTCAATGGTTGGCATCTCTATAATATACTCTCTATGGTTTGTATCTCTATAATATACTCTCAATGGTTGGTATCTCTAAGACATACTCTATTTGGTCGGTATCAAAGATTAATAACAATACAGAGAGAACACTAGATGTCGTATTTTAAAGATTTAGGGGTTTACGTTCACAGTAACCCTGAGGCAGAAGCCCAAAAGAGTTCCGAGCATGCAGCGTGGAATTACAAGACAGAGAGATAGCATGCGTTTTACTCCTTTTGGCTACTGCCTTAGGTTATTGTGAACGAAAAACCTCTAAATGTTGACAAGAAGCCATCTAGAAGTTTTATCTATATTATTATTAATCTATGGTTGTTATCAAATAGATTATCAAGTACAATAGGTGGCACTAGAGATATGGACCATATATACATGGCGTAACAAGTATCAAATATAACAAGGAAAACAAAATTTTCTTACAGTCTTGATATGTTTTCCAACATTAAATAATATGGTGTAAAAAAGAAATTAAAGAACACATAAAATTGCACGTATTTTTCTGTAAAATAAGCACTTTATTCTAAAATTTTCATTTTTATTAATAATTTTGTTGGACACAAAAACTGAGCTGACACTTGTGACGTAAGAATACAGCTGTACTGAGAGTGTACAAATTCTACGTTGCCATCTATTGTACTGGAATCTATTTGGTTGTTATTATATCTACGATATACTCTCTATGGTTGGTATCTCTATGATTTACTCTATATGGTTGGTATCTCTATGATAGCTCTCTTTGGTTGGTATCCATAGAGAATAGAATATATAGAGAGGAATTAAAAGAATCTCTCGGTATGAATTTTTTCAGTCACTTTCAGCCTGAAAGGGAGTTCAAAGTGTACAAATCATGTAAATGTTCACAAATTATATGCAGTAGAGTACATTAATACAGTATGTTCCCTAGACTAACCATTTCAATTTCGAATTTTTTAAAGCTGTTAAATAAACTATGTAATGAATTAGGTGAATAAAAACATCATTTGATTTATAGTTATAACGGAAAATCATCGTTTGTAAAGTGGAAGGCTAGAGTCTATGTGAAATGATCATTGGTCAGTTATGAAACCAGCCTATTTCATATTTTGGTTTTCTTTCAACAATAATTTTAGATTTTCTATAAAATGATATTCCAGGGCCCAACAGGTTATATAGCATAAATACGTGAAGTACACCTGCAGTATGGAAACAGTACAACAAAATGGCCGTTTTACACTTTTTTCTAGTAAATTCCTCTCTATATATTCTATTCTCTATGTTGGTATCTCTATGATATCTCTCTATTGTTGGAATCTCTATGATAAACTCTCTATTGTTGGTATCTCTATGATAAACTCTCTATGGTTGGTATCTTTAATGGTTGGTATCTCTATTTTTGGTATCTCTGTGATATACTTTATGTGGTTGTATCTCTATGGTTGGTTTCTCTATGGTTTGTATCTTTATGATATTCTCTATATGGTTTGTATCTCTATGATATACTCTATATGGTTGGTATCTCTATGGTTGGTATCTATATGGTTGGTATCTCTATGGTTGGTATCTCTGTGGTTGGTATCTCTATGGTTTGTATCTCTATGATATTCTCTATATGGTTGGTATCTCTATGGTTTAAATCTCTATGATATTCTCTATATGGTTGGTATCTCTATGGTTCAGGGTGACTCGGGTGGTCCAATGTCTGTACGGCGTGAAGATGGAAGATACCAGCTGTCTGGTGTAATATCCTGGGGGATAGGGTGTGCGGAGAAAAACCAACCTGGAGTTTACACAAGAATATCTAAGTTTAAAGAATGGATTCTTCAAATTATTCAATTCTAATTTTCATGTACAGAAAATGTGCACAGAAACCTTAGATATGCAAGCTAAGTATACTTACCCCTCTTTAAATGTGTATTTTGCATATTGTTAGTAAGTACAATGTACTACATTCAGTTTTGAATCGTTCCTAGTCGATTTTTTGTGACTTTCAATGTCTTAAGACATTTATTTTATTTTGTGGGCCTTACTGTGCTAAAATCTTAGTCCTGGAGTTAGAACTTTTGTATTGTTAATCTCAGGATCAAGCATTGATCTCTCCATCTAATGCAGATCAACAGATTGATTTAATTCTTTGATATCCTGTGGTGTTCACTTATACTCTGCAGTGATAACTAAATTCAAGGGATCGTCAAATTTAAAAGTGTCAACTTTGAATATCGAGAACAACGATACTCAGAGTACAAAAGTTGCAGCCTCTGAATGTATTAAATGTGAAATGTATGGAGACTGTTAATTTTTATATTTGTCGTAAAACTAAAAAGTTCAGGGATTAAAAGGACTGTCGGCGTTATTTAAAAAGTTTTTTTCTTTTCTTAATTGATCGTTTTAAAGAGCGGTTTCTGTATGAAAATTAATCTAAAAGGAATTGAGTCTTTACCACAAACTCAAAGTTTCTAATCCCTATATAATTCGAGCCCAATGTCGTATACCTTTGACATTTCAAACTTAGATTCTTTGATTTAACATTATTCATAGTTTAAAATATCAAAGGTTTACGCCATTGGGTTGGAATTAATTATATAGGGATTAGAAAATTTGAGTTTGTGGCAAGGACTCAAATCCTTTAAGCAAGTAGAGGGATTGCTGAACATTTTTTCTTTTAGAAAACGACAAGAATGTCTTATTGTTTCTTAAATAAAAGTCAAACGACATGCAACTCCTTCACTTGAAAATTCACTTGGAATTATGTAAGCAGTCTCTTTAGTTTCTTTATTTTAATCCAAAGAGTTTAGAATACGCTAGATTGGTAAGCAAAGGAATTAAGCCTTTGCCACAAAACCAAATTTTCTAATATCTTTGCAACCTGAAGGTGTAAACCATTGATATTACAAATTTAAATTATTTGACCCAACAGAATTCATAGTTTGAAATATCTACAGTTTTGGGTTGCAAATTAGAAAATCAGAATGTGTGGCAGAGACTCAATTCCTTTATGCGTACATGTTTTATCTCATTCGTATGCATTATGCAAACAAATGAACATTGCTAAATGTTCAACCTTGTATTTGTCCACTATGGTATAGATAATTGTTTTAGTTATCATAAATAGTTTGATATATATGTTTGTAATTTGAAGCCCTATGTTGAATCTCTGCAGGTAATCCTAATTTTAAATACTCTATTTTTTGAAACATTGTATCTTTAGCTAGTCAATTTTAAAGTCATCAATATATGTATATTTTGTAAACAGCAGCTTTTTTTGTGTACCATCCTTCATACTTAATTTTATTTTTATAATAAAGATATTTTTTGCATAATTTTTTTAATCTGCAGTGAGTAATCTAAGGGAATCTAGTGGTCAATAGGTCGTTTGCTTTTAATATTTCAAATGATAGATATTACGCATGTCCAAACTGCATGTCAAATTTCACATTAATCTTACCTTTATTCTATTAATAAAATTATGTTATTTTTATTAAATGTTACGTTTATAAATAAATAATTGTTGAATTAGCTCGTTATAATTTTCTTATTATTTTATTTAAAAGATTTGTTTCTGAATTTTCAATTTTGCCTTAAAATATTAAAACAACAATTCATGATTCAGTGAGATTTATTGCACGTTAAATATATGTTGAATGTGTTTGCATGCTGCATGCTACATTAAATATGTTTAATGTTGTTGCATGCTGCATGCTGCATTAAATATGTTTAATGTATTTGCATGCTGCATGCTACATTAAATATGTTTGTTGTGCTTGCATGCTGCATGCTACATTAAATATGTTTAATGTGGTTGCACGCTGAATGCTACATTAAATATGTTTATTGTGTTTGCATGCTGCATGCTACATTAAATGTTAGAAGTATAAACTGTTGAACGAATTGCATGATTTAAATATATTACAGCAAATAATAATTATAATAATAATAATAATAACAATAATAATAATAATAATATAATAGCAATGGCTCTTAAAACTCTTTTTAGTTTTTTGTTCATGTAACTGAACAATTATTTTGCACAAACATATAAAAAAGTAATCCTCCATTTTTAAAGTGTCAAGTTCGATTCACAATCACAACGGTAACCAACCAAGAAACGATACGGAAATTATCGTTTGGCAATTATCTTGATAAACCTCAAATTCTCGCAATTCTTTACGTTAGAGAATCCACAGTTGAAAATAATCTATTGTAAGCTAGACAATTAAGAATATATCATTCATCCATAGCAAGCACTGTGCTTTAAAGGTTGCAAGCTCTCAAGCAAAAATCGATAAGAATCTTGCCATTTTTTCTTAAAAACCAAACCAAGTGTTTATAGCGTTAAAATGTACATGTAAAGGGCTACAGAAAACAATAAGTGAGTTAGAGCGGTAAAGTTAAAGCCCAAGGCGTTGTGACACTTCAAAGTTGACCCTGTCTTAAAAATTGATAAGACTTTTTATAAGCAGTCTGAATCTATGTGCATGCAAGGCAAAGGTTGAAAGGGTACCTTTGTGAATAGGATATGACACTCTATAAATATAGTTTTAATGAAGTATTTAAAATATAAAATGTAAAGGATTGGAAACTTTTGCATCAAAGGATTTATCTCTTCTTTATTTAAAAAGTTTCGTACAATAAGAGAACTGTTAATCTATAAGGCGGGGAGTTTCAGGATTCCATTTAAAAAAACCAATAGTCAACCCTATCCTGGTAGGACACTGTACACTGTACACCCTATCCTGGTAGGACACTGTACACTGTACACTGTACACCCTATCCTGGTAGGACACTGTACACTGTACACTGTACACCCTTTCCTGGTAGGACACTTTTTTGTTTTCTGGGGGGTAGGGGGTGGATTAATGAATTACAAACAGTTTATGCAATTTCGAATAATTTTTGTAAGACAGAATATTAATGTTTCATTGCATTTAAAAAAAGCGCTTTCCCAAACACCTCCCTGGGTTTTTTTCTGAGTAATGAGTGAAATCTTAAAAGTTTTAACATTTCAATGAATGATAATTTGCATTCAATAAAATTTGAAGAATAATGAGCCTAAATTTGGCTCAAGGGCTCCAACACATAAATTGTTAGATGTTCATTTCTAAGAGTGTAATATTTTCAAATGTTATTTTGTTTTACATTATTGAAAGCATGAACTTTTCCAAAATGTTAAAGCATTATTATTAAACCAAACATTTTACACTAAAAAAATGAATGGAATCATAGTTTAAATATATCATTAAAAATGTAGATAAATAAAAGTATTGAACACTAATAATAAGATTGATCGCTTGTATTAGCCCTGGAGTAAAAATTTGGCAATACATTCCTTTTCAAGACCACATAACATGTGTTTCCAATTGTTTTCGTTTGATTGTACTTTACAAAACAATAATACTCTGACGAAATATTTATAAATTGCAATAAATATAATTGCAATTGTGTTTTGTAAGTGAAATAATTATCAATATAACTTTACAAGCATGCCACTTGGTAAAGATAGATTCGAGAGAGTAATTATAGAGTTGGGTTGGAGAGAGTTTAGAGTTGGATTGGAGAGAGTTTAGAGTTGGATTGGAGAGAGTTTAGAGTTGAATTGGAGAGAGTTTGACTATATACGTAATTTCAAGTGAAGATGTTCATTATAGCAAGGCCCATTTATAACGATGTTCTTTATATATTTATCTGAGTACAAATGGTGAAGATATCATTGTTTTTCCATCTCATAATGTGTGTTCTTCTGATATTTTACTTTTTACTTCGGCTAGTTTTTACCACAATATTATTTATATTTCTAAACTTTGAAACACCACATAGTTGATGCTAGTTTACGTCAGATTGAAATAAGAATAAAATCTTACATGTTTTCAATCATAACCCATCTTATTAAAGACCTATTGAACAGAACATAAATGTTTTGAATTTCAAGTATATAAAACCAGATAATGGAACTGAAGTATTGCCACAAATTCAAATTAATACCTAAATCTTTGCAACCCAATGTAGTAGACCTTGGATGTTTCAAACTATGAGTTCTGTTAGATAAAAAAAATGAAGCTTGAAATATCACAGGTTTACACCTTTTATAATCATCATCATCATCATCATTATTATTATTTTGATTATAATTATGATTATTATTATTATTATTATTATTATTTTTATTGCTACAGGGGGATTCTGGCGGTCCAATGACGATCCAAGGAGATAATGGCAGGTGGCAGCTGGCTGGGATTATATCTTGGGGAATAGGTATTAGAATATTCAATATGCAAAAAAGTACATGGAATTAGTCAAGCATAGAAATAAGAGAGCAACCTTATTCATTTATAAATAGGGTCAGGGTTCATTCAGTAAAGATTAATCAACTAAACATAAATTTTTACAATTCGAAGATGGGGGAGGGGGAGGCCAGCCACAAAAATGTCTCGTCCAAGCCACAATCTACTCATTTTCTCGTCCGAGCCACAATCTACGCATTTTCTCGTCCGAACCACCTAGAAATCTTCGACATTTTACTATTTTTTCATTTTTTGATCCCGATATCCAAAATTGGCACGTCAAAATTTGATTGCTAGAGGGTACGTACTTGATCTCTCAATTAAAGTTATCACTTTGACCACCACGGGATAACAAAGAGGAGTAACATTAATCCGTAGATCAGCACAAGAGGGAGATCAACGTTTTATTCAGAGATTCAAAAGTTCTAACTTCAGCTCAACTTTTAAAGTATCTGACATGGTATCTGTATACGATACATGACGAAACAGGACAGTTGGTGAACAGTTTAACCCTATTCCTGCTGGGGGGGGGGGGGGCAAGTTGACATCCCCTCTAGTTTTTTTTTTTTATAAATCAAAAAGTATTGGTCTGAGGCTGTTGAAATTCTCTAACTTTTCCTTAATACCCATAGCCCTTCCATGAGGTCTAAAACCGGGCTTTTATACTAACTGCCTGAGTTCTCGGGCACACCGTATGAATGACTAATTTTTCCTGTAACAAACTAAATCTTGGTTTTGGCCCACATTCAGTTGTCAGATTTTGATAACTTTTTAGCTTTTTGGAAAGCCTATGACAAAAGAAAAGGGATTGCACAAGATTTGCGAGATATTTGTTTTGTTTTTCAGAATTGAAATAAAATATGAGCGCGAAGCCCCTATTCACCAACTGTCAAGTTTATGGGACCCCTTTTACTAAATCTATTCACCAACTGTCAAGTTGTGTGGAACCCCGTGCACTAAAACGATTTACCAACTGTCAAGTTGTGTGGGACCCCTTGTACTAAAACTATTCACCAACTGTCAAGTTTATGGGACCCCTTATACTATAACTATTCACCAACTGTCAATTTATTTG